ACACAAAGTGCAGCTACCATTTTGCACAATTGCTTTCTATATGAACTGTGCAATAACCGTCTGGACTAGGCTGTATACCGCTACGTATCTGTTAATCTGATATCGTATGCTCGGCGATCCAATTGTAGCTGAACCGTAAAGTAACCCGATTAACTGAGGTTCCACGCCGAAGTACCGCTTTTTGCATAATGAAGACATGTGGTGAAGCTGCCGCAAAATGCCTTGACAAATCGTGATTTGGCTGTCATGTGAATAGACACTGATTCCTCGTCAACATCTACTCCAACATTAAAACTTAATGTTGAACTCTAGGCTTTATTGCAGACTCTTTCTCTGAGCGTGCATCGACACGAAAAAATTCAGCACTTCATAAAGGTCATTCGCTACTTTTTCTTTTTTTGTTCCTTAATCCGTTCTTCGTGCAAATCGCGCCCAGAGACAACCGTTTCGCTGATACTAACTTTCTGTGACGATAACATCCAAGCCGAATCGTGATGCAACGTCTGCTTTTCAGCTCCGACGGATCCAAGCTTCTACAATACAGTAATATCAGACAATTGTTCAGACCGCTACAGGTTGATAACTTTTTGTTTTTCTCCACCAATTTCGTCCACTTTTTAATGTGGCCATTGACCAGCCGAGGAGATATTTCGAGGCCGTTAAACAGTTCTACGCAGGCGCGTTTCTCGTTGATCTCGGCGTGCACTACAAAGCAGAGCCAGAAATCTTCAAAATCTATGTGAGCACACTTAATTTCTGGAAAGAGTATTGACTATTGACTATTTGTAGAGGGGTATTGACTATTTGTTATTTTCGTACTGGCTTGCATTGTGAAAGTTTTGAATGTCCAGCGACTATTCTACTGTTGATTTTATTGTAGCGTGCGTGCGTCAGTTAGGCGAACTTGTAAAATGATAGTAAACATTTTCTTTGGGTCAACGGAGAGTCGGAGACGTCGCGCGAAGCGCGAAGCTGACGATGCTTTTTGCCCAGAAAACTTTAGAAATTTAATCAAAATAGGTTATTTATCAGAAATATATTTTTGTGTTTGTTAAATTTATTGAAAGTTTGTAGTACTCAAGTAGTAGTTTGTTTGTACTCAAGATCTTTTATCTTGTCTCTCTTGGCCCGATCAGGATGTTGAGACTGCAACACTGTCTGTTTCTAATTTCAGTAATAAAGAAATTTGGAAATGGAGAGAGTAGGTATCTGTATTCATAAGAAGGACAGAGTACCCATGTACTAAAGTAAGTATAATAAGTGCAGCAGTCAACTTATACAATTGTACTCAGTAAAGTAGCGTTAGAGTACTCTTAAGATGCCCTTACGGCCGCACTGCTAAAAAACATGATCTGGAAAAGGAATAAGAACAAACGCAGCTGCGGCAGAAAGGTTTCGTAATATATTCCATTTTATCCCGGTCTGGGCCCGGTCGTGTAAGACTTTTTTTTGAACTTGTATGGAAACCCGCTGCCAGAAAAGCCGATAGAATATGCACTCCTAGACGAAAAGGTCATTCTCGAGTATTACCAGAGATTTTTTATCGGCAGAAACATAGTTCATGGTAGTTAAAATCATAAACATCACCAGGCCGGCTAAATCCATGTGCGTACTCGTACAGCTTACTCCAAGCGGAGGCTCGGCAGTAAGCCGGTATTTCGCGTACAAGAAACGAACGTGTAAGAAACGTGTATTTTGTGCAGAGTACGTACTAAAATTCATTGTGTTAATTCATGGTAAACTCATTGATATATTAAGATGGTAGTAAGCTACTGTACATAGTGTACGTACAAGCGTATTAGGGAAGGTGAACATGTAAGCGCGCTTTCCTATTTTCAAAAGCAGCATAGCACTGCTCCGTTACGAAAATTCAGACAGATTTGCTGTTGTAATGGTTCATCGTGCGACTAAGTAATAACTGGGAAATTCGGCCGCAAACCTGCGCATAAAACTAGATTTCGTGAGCAGGAAACAGCATTGTAACTACGGAAGTAACGGAACAACTGCACAGATGCGCAAATACGGATGTAGCGCAACTTCTGTCAAAAAAGCGGTTGGACTAAATACGTTGACCAACAAATCTGCACATTAAATTGTAGGAGAAGGCGATACGCATGTATATCGAGTGGCGTCTAGGTTATTCTTCAAAATCTTCACCGCGCATTTTCTATTTGCGTATTTTAGTTTGTAATTTTAAAATAAAATGATATTAGAAGCTGCTTAATTACAGAAGAGGGGAGTATTGGTAATTTTTAAGCACAAGTTCTAATCTAGGTGAGCACACGACCCTTTATGTGAGCACATTTTGTGTTATGTGAGCACAAGTTTTCAGGCCCTGCTACAAAGGTCCTGTCGTCCGAGTCGCGCTTGCTGCAACAGCGTAACACAAAAGCTATCATTAAAAAATGGAACTTTTGAATCTGCTACTGCCACGCTGCTTACATATTTCGCTTAAATAACACATGCGACAGTTGACTTCTGTGCGTACACTACTCTTACTCATAATTCAATAGGCGCCAGTAGCAAACTCATATATTCCACCAGCCTATAGCAGTTTTCTTACTAATCGTTCGACTGTATTTTATGAAATAAAGAATAAAATTCTTATTTTATGATTATTATAAACAAATTCACGAGAATTTGGAAGTTCGGCTTACGCATTTTTGTACGTACAGTAAATATCATTATATAATAAATTTTTCTTACAGTCTCGGCCTCATAGATTCCAGAAAATTCTTCAAAACGGTATCGGGACTATCGGCGTTGGTTCCAAACAAAAGTACCAACATTTCCGTCTCCTTGTCATCTCTTGGCAGCGCATGTTCCATAGCGCCATAGACATCATGCTTCAGCAAGACACCATTGTATTCATCAGAAACCCCTGAAGGTACAACAAGCAGCCATAGAAAACCCAAGCGCAAAACTTTTCGTAGCCGCAATAAGCAAATACAAAAAATTTCGAAACTAGTGGAATCATTGCTACAATGTTCGTTTTACTCTTAATTGCTTACGTTATGGTTGGGGAATTGTACAGAAGAAATTTAGAGCATTAGGATATTATCGTCCAATAATACAGTAATATAAATCAATAAATTACGTAGCTAATCGTTCTTTATTCGCGGAAGGTCCCATTTATATCGCACAAATATAATTAATGTTCCTTACATTTTCTGCTTGCATGTTTCAACGAGATAGATAAGCCGTAAATGGAAGTCGTCGTGACGGTCTTTTTCCTGCTCCTTGTTTCGACTGGCAGACTGCGAGCTGCTGGCTACTGGCTCCGAGGACATTCTACGAGTATAAAACAGAAACATGCAAAGATAGACCTCGAATCGCTCTATCACTACGCTAGTTTATGGACAAAAGTGCTGCAGTACTGTAGAAGAAAATTATGTCAAATAAAGATTCAAGGGCGCTTTGAATCACAGATCGCCTGCGCATGGCGTACCTTCTCGATAAACGGTTAAAGTGTGGAACGGCAATTGCAAGAGCTCTGTCCGTATTTTGTCGCGATCGGTAAATAAAAAAGCTGCTTCTTAGTTAGAATAAACTTGTTCGAAAACTTTTCAGCCAAATTTTGGTGAAAAAATAAAAAATGATTAAGAACTTCAAGAAATATTGAGAACTGACTTGCATGAGACTAGACGAGCTCTTCAAATTCAGAATTTTTGATTTGCAATTTAATGAATTTATACTAATTAAAATTCGGCAATAAAACCGGAAGTGACTCACCGGAGCCACATCACCTGCGGGCGGTAACGCTATCGCCATCCGCATCGAGAAGCCTAATCTGGCTTATCATACCTACAGAGAAGTGAAGAACGTACGGATCAAAATATGCATGTATAGCGAAACAAGTCCACCTAGTTCAAGGTAGCTGTATCCCAGTAGCGCCAGTTCGTACAGCCACTTCACTCCACATTCACATCGTACAAGCTTCACCTCGCGGCATCTTTAATATTGTACGAGTACCACTGGAATGTATCCGCTCATTCAGCACTGTGAGGCGGTGATTAGGAGTTATCGTTGATTATAGTTTACAGAAATTTTTTAACAGCTCCCTATTATCCTGTATTACATTTTCGCAGCTTCTCCGGAAAATTGCTATGTACTGTTACCCTTTGCAGACACAGGCGTTGAGGTAAGGTAAGTCTCACATGTCAGTCACATCCAGCGACATTGAGCAACTACTATGTAGAATTCGCGCGCGTACTTTTCAGTAAGTTTGCAAAGTCCGTGATATCCTAACACCGTAACTCATGAGTGCTTTGATAATGCGCGTTACCGTTGCCGCCATTATCACGACCGAGTGTGCAGTACTTGGAACCACCCGCTATACAGTCACCTGAATGAAGTTTACGCCCACCTCACTGGTAAAACCCAGAAATCCCCGTACTGAAATCGCCCTGCGCGAGTTCCACCATGAAGTCAGTACCTCTCGTAGAGCTCTCGCACAGCGACTACAATACGGTTGCATAGGGACTGAAATCGGCACCCACGGTCCTCGAGCACACAACCGATTAACTACTGGCTGGCCAACTCATGCCGATTCTTTGGCCGTTCTCTGCTGCTGTTGGGCGCCTTTAGCTGGAGTTATTTAGGTGATCCCCCTTATTGTTCACCTGGTGCTCGCAGTACTATTCTGCGGCAGTGGTCCTTTGCCCATTTGTGATGGCATCTTTTGAGCCATCTCACCTGCAGTCCGATTCTGCGGTGACTTCGCAGTACTATTCTGCGGCAGTGGTTCTTCCCCACCTGTGATGGCATCTTTTGAGCCATCTCCTTCGATTGATGTGGTGGCATCTTATTAGCCACCTCCTTTTGTTAATGTGACGGCATCTTTTGAGCCGTCTCCTTTTGCTGATGTAATGGCATCTTATGAGTCATCTCCTTTGACCGTTGTAATGGCATCGTATAAGCCATGTCCCACGCAGTACCATTCAGCGTTCCTCCTTTATCCGGTGGTTTCGGTTCGGGAGGATCAGTAGGCTCACCGGCGCCTACTGATTTTGATCGTTTCCCTGGTCCATTTGCTGCTGCGGGGCTTGCTCGTTTTGCTGCCCCTGGGCAGCGCCGTTCACGCCGCCGCCGTTATTCTGGTCGCCGCCACCATCATTCCTGTTGGCGCGCCAGTTCCGGTTGCCGTTGTTGCCGCGTCCATTGCCGCGACCTCGTCCGCGAAAGCCTCCTCTGCCGCCGCCGTTATAACCACCTTTGCCCCCTCCTTGGCCACCTCCTTGGCCACCGCCATTTTGCTGTTTAAACTGGGACGATGTGGCCACCAGGTCGTAGCCGTTCGCTACTGCCTGTCGCCAGCCGCCTTGAGTGCGCAGCCTCTCCCACTCTCGGGTGGCGAACAGGTTCGGGTTCCGGTTCAGCGGCATGTTGGCGAACTTGCAGCCCTGTGCATTGTGGTTTTCAAATCCACAATTCTGGCACAGCTGCACGCCCTGGGCTACCCATCCATCAATTAGACCGAACTTCCATTCCGTTCGAGAACCTTGCTGAGGCTGATAGTTGCCACGGTTCTGCTGATAGTTCCCTTGGCGGTTGTTCTGCTGATAGTTGCCATTTCCTTGACCATTATTCTAGTTATCGTTTCTATTTCCGTATTGATTCCCCATGTTTTGCCTTCCTTGCTGAGGTGGCACTCCTACGTTCAGGGGATTCGGCATCACTTTAGCCGGGGCCACTGGTCTCGCCTGTGCCTGCGCTTGTATCGCAGCGACCATGGCGTATGAGATCGGCTGACCAGTTTGACTATCAATAAAAGTCACCTCCTTCTGGACCGGAGCTGGTGATCTCAGCCGATATTCCACCTGTTAAGCTGGTGCAGCTGCGTACTGTCTCGGTGCCATCTCAACTTGGCCCGAGCGGATGGTTACGCACTCTGGTTGATTGCGTTGACCTTCAACCACCTTGTATTTATCTTCTCCAGCTGCCCATGATCGGAAGAAGTCCTTTATTTCCGTTGGGGTCTTGAACCCCTTGGTTTTCAGCGCGTTATAGAGGTTATTATCGACTCTGCATCCATCTATGAGGAATGCGACTGCTTGTAATTCCGTGATCGCCTTTTTTGCTTTGAACTTTATAATCGCCTGGTAAAATTGTTCCAATATTTCTTTTCCAGGTTTGAATTTCCTGGCCATGGTTTCGCGTAAGCCAAGGACTTCCTCGTTTCGATCACCATACTCTTCTTTGAATTTGTTGAGCCATTCTTACGGCAGTTGCTATATCGATGAGGATCTGCTCGTCAGTTAAGTCATATGTCCGCTGGGTTTCTTTGACCATCCGGATCCATCCATTTACCGCATCTCGGTTGCCGTCAAAAGTCGCGAGATCCGTCTTCCTGCCCATATTCTTGATGGATCTGTTGAACTCCCTTTGGGCGCGATCTTCGTTTCGCTCATCTCTTTGGTTATGATCATTTCTTTCGTTGCGTTCATTTCGATATTCTCTGAATTATCTGCCGTCATGTTCGTGTCGAGGCGAACGCGCATCTCGATTTGCATCATCTTTGATTGTCGTTTCGATGAGCTGTTGAAACTGGGAAGGATCAACAGAGCTCATATGTGGCTGATGACTACCCGAAGGATTCCGGTTATCGGTGACTTCTCCATCTTTTTCCGTTTTCGGATCACCTCTGCCGCCACCCGTTCGTAGCGGCATTTCGAAGTGAGGACTCCCGCCCGTTCCTTTTCCTTGTGCCTTACTGTAACTGGGCGGGGGTGATTTGGTGGTGGCTTTCTTCACACCGAACTGCAGGAGTTGTTAATCCTTGTGTTTGTTCGTCATCTGGAGAGCCTTGTTCTCATCCTCGAGACGTCTTGTCTTCAACTGGATTTCTTTCCTTTCTCTCCTCAGGTCTGAATTTTCCTGGTTGATCTTCATGTGATCATGAAGTGCAAAGGTCTTCTCCTGGACGATTTTTTTAGTATTGGTTTCCATCTTCTTAATATGTACGGCCAGCTGGGTCACCTCTCCTTCCATTCGGGTGTATTCCTCAGCCGCTGATCTCATCTGATTTCTCAGTCCGATGGCTTCATCTTCTCTAAGCATTGCTGTCGTTGCCATCGCGGTCAGCTCCGTATTGAGCTATATATTCTCCTCGAGCTGCTCATGAACTTTTTGTTGATGTTTTTTTTCAGCTATTTCAAGTGCCGTGAATATCGTATCCAGCCGGAGCGCTTGAGTTTTCCACTTCTGGCTTTCCTCTGTTAGTTTTGTAACGTCTTCTGTGAGCTTCGGGTTTTCTTCGTTGACTTGTTTGATTCCTGCCTTGAGTCGTTCGCCTTCAGTTGCTCCAAGCTCAGTGAGCTCCTTTGCCACCTGGAGTGCCTCATCAGCTCGTTTCTGATGAGCTCTCGACTCGTTTTGGAGGATGCCAGTGTTCTCGTCTCTCAGCTTCAGATCGTTCCTGAGCTTTAACATATCCGTCGTCATCGATGCCAATTTCTGTGACGCTTCTGCTAACTTAGTTGCGTACTCATTCCGTTTGATTTCGGCATCGTTTGCCTTCTTGCGAAGCTCATCGCACTGATCCCAAGTTCGGCCATATGTCGTGATTTTTCAGCTGATTCTTCAGACATACTCTCGTTGAGATCGCTAACTGCGAGATGCCCTTCCATCTCCTTATCGTCTGCGATCTTCTGAGCTTCTTCGGCGATCTCCTTCTGACGTTCATATTTAATTTCCATTCATCTGCCGCACTCTCCAAGTCACCTCGTTGCTGCTCCAATTCGTACAGCCGGGTCTCGAGTGTCGTTAGTCTATCACGATATTCCTGTTTCCTTTTGGTTGCCTGTCGTTCCTTTACTTCAAGTTCAATCTCTAGTTCCTTGACACGGCTTTTCAACGTTGACGTGGGACTGTTCGGAGATGGTGAGCGTACATTAATGATTTTTCCCGTCTGACTTCGTTCGATCAACTTTTCAGGGATGTCTTCAAATGGTGTCAGTACCTCTGCTCAATCAGCTTCCTTCATTGCTGTTCGGAACGACATGTTCATTGTCACGTCGTCATCGGTGAAGTAGGATTCATTTGGATCGGTTGTTTTCTGATCTCCCATCATCTCATTGAATGACATCGGGCTCTCGAACAGATCCTCCACTGTGACGTCATCATGCAGTGAGAGATCGTCTAAGTTCAGCTCGTTGAGATCTTTTTCAGTGACTTGTGACTGTTCGCTGAGGTTCGATTGAGCCAGATTGGCATCCTTGTCCTGCTCTGATATGGCAGGACTGGTTCTGACATCCTTTTGTGATGTCGCCTCCATCTCCTCTGCTCGTCCCGAGCTCGTTCCTTCTTCGGTGACCACTTTGTTCACCTCGCTGCTTCCCGCCGCAGGCTCGGAAGATCGTTTCGTAGAGTCGCTGGAGCTCTCATGACCTGACACTGCTTCGAGTGCCTTCTGATAGGTCGCATCCAAGCCTCGAGAGTCCTTCCTCTCAAAGGCTTTAGGTGCCCGGGTGCTCCGCTCATGTGCGACTGGACGTGTGTATGAGTTGAGGTCGTTCTTGTACGGATTAGGTGCGCCTTGCTGAGATCCGCGAGAGCCTCGGCTCCCCTGGCTGCTGTTAGATGTCGGTTTGATGATCTCTTTGTCCATCGTTGATCGGATAACTCAGACGCACCTGTCGATTTATCTCACACACACGTTATAGTAAGCTCGTTATGACCCTATAGATCACTTTTCAGCTCGGGAGATTAGCTCAGGTTCGTTTTAAAAGATCACTTTCAATAAAAAGTTCGATAAGCTCACTTCGGAGATGCTGATAATCAACTACTTATGTCAACTGAGCTGCTGAAAGTTCATTTCGAGTTCGTTTTCAGATCAGCTGGTAGATTTCAGCTCAGCTCAGATCACTTTTTACTCAGCTCGTTTCAGCTGGAATGAGGTCTTTTCAACTGAATTTGTTTAAGTTTCGATGGAAAAGTTCATATATTAGGTCAAAACTGATTTATCTCAGCTCATCTGTGAAGGTCATTACCAGCTCAGTTCAAGGCCAGAGATCGATCTCAGGTTCAATTGGTCAACTTTTTACTCAACTTGTTTCGATCAAAAACAGCTCCTACTAGCTCTTATAAGATCAAATTTGATGAGAAAAGATCGTTTACGCTACTTATTAGCTCGTTACGAGATCGTTTAGCTCGATTTAACCCGTTAAAATTCCGACCAATCACAGCTCATATAACTGACCAATCACGTGAACCCGTAAAATTTTCTGGCCTGCGTGGCGTCACAGATCGACGGCCAGACTTGCGCGCCGAGTGCAAAATCTCCGCCTACGTCTAGCTCAGCTCAGTACAGACCAATGAAAATTGCGCTTTTTACGCGCCGACCAATCCGATAATTAATAAGGTATTTTACCTGTTTACCGATCCGATTTCCGCCAAAATGATCCAGATGATCGCGTTTTCTTCTCCACGATCCGATCCCGCGCAGCCGTATTCCGCACGGTTTTGGCGCCTTCCTGTCCGACCTAGTCTGCCTTTTGCTGGGCTTGTCAGGCCTACCAGCAGGTCGCTCCACAGCCTGTTTGGTGTGCGCGTAAACTGATCTCTTTGGCACCTCCTTCGGTGCTGCCAACTTTCGTGGCTTCTCGGCGCCTGTGCCCGACAGCCTCGTCCTCTACAGAGGATCTCGCTGCCTAGCAGTGGAAACGGCACAAGTTCTCCACAGGAGGGACCTGCGTCGCGGCCAGCTGCCGTCTGACTTGGAAGAGCACAAGACGAGTTCTCCTACAGGAGATACTCGAGCCAGTGCTGCCGCTCCCGCTGGCAATCCGATGAGTTGCGCCTTGCTTCAGATGAGGAAAACCAGTGCCTTACTGGTGCAGTCGATCAATATCGATGGATCCAGATTCGACGTGGCCGTTCGCCAAACAGATAATTGTGGCCGTTCGCCAAACAGATAAACACTCGAGCACCGTCGATTACGGGCTCTGCTACCATATAACGTGGTACTCAGAATGAGTCCAAGACAGAGATCCCCACTGACAGGATCCTGCGTAGCGTAATATGCTATAAAATCTGGATAAATGCGCAACGCACGACATCCACTAGCATAGGTACACTTTATTGAGTGTGCAAATCTACTGACTGAACAACTGAATGAACAACTGGCAAATCTGCCAAGCGAAGAGCCAAATCCTGCCACTTCGCATGCGCACATAGGCGCGCCCACACAAGGCAAATACAACCAATCAGAAGAGACACAACACAGACACGTCATCCGCATAGCGCCACAGGCGTGAGGGTGAACGTGAGTGCAGCCATGGCTCTTACGTACTAACGAAAAAATACTGAAATAAAGAATACTGGAATAGTGTTTTGATCATGTTATGTTATCAGTACATACATGCCCTTCCACATGTCAGCAAAATGAATGTGACTGTTTGCCTGCATTAATTCGGTGTACGTTTGATTTTCTCGCTTAAAATGTCTCTCTCTAACAAACGTACTACAATATGATTTCAAAAGATTTACTTTAATTGGGTTATTCACGTTAACACAGGTTAAAAGCAAAATTACGCAGTTCATCATTTCAACACATAATACACTTCGTCCAGTCTCTTACCGATAAAAAACGTTTCTTGAACACAAGCAGCGTTACCTCGCATTAAAGCAACACTGATTCTCTGCTTCAGAAAATGAGTGGACCGTTTCTCTTTTGTCCTCTCAAAAAGCATCTTACCGAGTGTAGACATCTTACATTTCGATTCTTTACCCC